CTTGGGATTTCAGTAAATCAGGTTGCAAAAACTGGCAAGAACCTGTATCCCAAGCAAACAGGAAAAAAGTTATAGAGAAGGGCTCCAGACTTAACTGGACAAAATTTAAAAGGCAAAAACAAAAAAAAGGAAAGTAGGAGTAAGGAGAGCCTGGAGAAAAGGGATAGATCAGCAAAGTAAGCTGCGTCCTAGAGGTCAGGAAGATTAGGGATGAAGACAGTTGCCAACATTTAAACCTTTACAGAGGAGAAGGGAGTATCTGTGTTAATCTGAAGTTAGGCAGAAGACAGGGAAGGGTGGCACCTTAGAGGCTAACTCATTTGGGGGCATGAAGTTTTGTAGGTTGCAGCCTGCTTTGTTAGATGATATGGTGAAATTAAAGCAAGTAGCAAAGGATTTCTAGCTACGTGAAGACAGAGAAAAAGGAAAGAAGTGATACATTGCATTGAGGATGAGGTAGAGCAAAGCTGTTCAACTAGTGGCCCATAGGTTGTAGGCAGCCCATGAGAGATTAGGTTGCCCCTGTTCGCCACCACTTCCCCTACTGCTCGGGCTGCAGTAGCTCTGGGCTCCCCCTTCTCCAGCTGCCACGTTCAGCCTCTGGGGTTTGGGCAGTGCAGCCCAGGGAGCAGATGGTGAGTCTGGGGTCACATCGGCACACAGTGCAGTGGCGGAGGGGGAGCAGAAAGCATACGTGGGCACAAAGTGAAGGGTATGGCTGTATGGGCACACAGTGCCGCAGTGGCCTGGGAACATGTAGTTCACTCCTGGTGTGACCCACAAGGTGTGCATTCCTAGCCTCTTGGAAGTTGGACATCCCTGGGGTAGCAACTGAAGGTGAGCTACTGTTTTTTTATGCTGTTTTTTTGGTAACAACAATGATATTGAACACAGGGCAGAGACAGGATGGCTAAGGGAATGGGGTGTGAAAATTGAAGTTGCCTTAGTCAAAGTAGAAGCAAAATTCAGATATTTGAGGAAGCAGATAATTTCCATTCCAAAAATCTGAAAGAACTAACACATGAAGTCACAGGTCCAGTAGCAGTGATGTTGAAGGGGAAGGTTATTACTATGTAGTGGGAAAATAACAAATGTAGTACTTCTTCCCCCACCGCTAAAGTACTGTTTAATTAATATGTGATGCAAGCCTATTAAAACACATTTTTGACTAGAATAAAACACTTGATGGATTACCACATGAGACACTATTAGTTATGTGGGAGAAGATGAGGGTTAGTAGAAAAATGGTAAGGTGAGAGGAAATGGCTGAAAAGGAAAAAAACAGTTGTAATAAAAAGTTGGAGAAAGCTTACTAGTAGACTTCAGGTCTTGAGACAGATTTAATCTAATATTTTAATGAATAACCTCAGTACAGAAACTAGATACCATATCTACATGCATACCACATGCACTCCAAAAAAAAAAAATAGCTCTCCAAAATTGGGGTATGTTCATTAAGTGAGGGAGCTGATTTCCATGCTGGAATGGCAGTAGCTTTTGCCAGCAGCTGTAACAGGGTTAAAACTGTAGCTGTGGAACTACAGGATGCGGGTAAGTGATACGGGAGAATAAAGTCTCCCCTTTCTGTACATGGCTGTCTCTAGTGGGTTATGGAATAGAGAAAATCCCACACAATTTACTGATTCGTTTTGATGCACTGGCTGGGGGAGTAGTTAGCTGATTGCACGATTTCACAATGATTACACACTTAATTTATACAACACAATTTTATTTTAAAACTCTTTGCTACGTATATAACACTGCTTAGCTTTAAGAAACACCACAAACATTAAAAACACAATAATTACATATATCAGAAACAATGCTCCGAATGCACTTCCTTCCCAAACAATGCTATAAGAATTAGTGTTACAAAAACAACTACAATTACAACTAAAAGTTAAATTTGAATCAATACTATTATTTTTCATAATATACTTACAATCCTAGGATTCCGAGAAGCCAAATACCAAAATATGGTTTAATTCCTCAGTAGTACGATTTAATGGGTTGGCCTCAGTAGTACGGTTCAATAGGCTGGCCTCAGCAATACGATTCAATGAGCTGGGCTCACCAGTGATAGGACTACGTCCCCTTCCTTCAGTCCCTTTCAGGTGCTCCGCGGCTTCAGCGTGAACTAAGAGATTCGTGTTCACGGAGAGGTTGGATTAGGTGATCAATCTAATCCAAGTTTACACTTGCGATTCTTCCTTCGTTGTTCTGCAAGTGAAGTCACCTCCAAATTGGGACAGTAAGTTACAGGTTTTTATTGAGTGAGCTGCCGTCATTGGGCTCCTCCTACTCAACTTATCATACCTCCCAAATTTGGGCTCGGATCTTACTCAACAGAAATTACCTTTGTTGAGCATTTTTAAATTATTCTTGGGGAGACTTCCATATCACTGTAAATACTTTTTCTTAGCAATTTGGTTAAAAGGCCTTAGGCTTTGATGTCTCAGAATTCAGGATATTTGCTTTCTTTGTAAAAAACTTCTAAAGATACAATTTAAATTAAGACTTTAAGTGAAGTCAGGACATTTTGCACGTAGCTCCGAAACAATGAGCTAGATAAGGAGATAAATCCTATCTTCTTCCTGAAACTGGCTAATGGGCAACCTTTACAAACATTCAAACTATTTCATTCAATATGACAATGGCCAGCATTCAGCCATTGTGAGCTTGTGCTGTGGCAGTTAAAATTCTGAAAAAAAATCTTTTTTTCTTTATTCTGCCTCCCCAAACCAAGGGGCATGTGTTATTTGTGGGCCTGTGGAATGCAAGAAAATATGGTATATGAAGTTTGCTTATTTCCCAAAGTTGGGAGGCATCATTGGTATGGGAAGGAGCATTGATGCTTTACATAGGAAGAACTGGATGACCTTGAGGACTGGAGTGAGAGAAATCAGATGAAATTTAGTATCGCAGGGTACAAAGTCATGCATTTAGGGACTTCTTACAATATTTTCTGCACCTAATTTGGGGCTTACTGTTTGGAAATAAAAGAGGAAGGGAAAGACTTGGGTGTATCAGTTGATTGCAGGATCACTTTGACTGCCAGTGAGGCAACTGTGAAAAAGGCAAATGCACTTTTAGGCAAGGCATCTCCAGTAGATGCAGGGAAGTGTTAATGCTACTAATGAGAATTATCTGGAATACTGTGTACAAGTCTATTTTTCTTGTTCAGGAAAGAGGAACTCAAACTGCAACAGGTACCTAGTAACCCTAGTTACTCTTCAACTGAAAGGGGGTCTATTTTATGAGAGAAGGTTGAAAGGGATTGCTAGGCTGGGAGGGGATCAAAATGGTGGCTGGAAGCAAATATGACTGTTTGCTAGAATTACATCAGGAGATAAACACTAGAAAGGAAGAAGACCTCTGTAAGCTAAAGGGCAAGATTGGCTCAAGGACAAACAGTTATAAACTGGCTGAAAATCAAGTTTTCAAAGTATCAGACCAGTGAGATTCTGGAATAGCCTCTCTTTTGGGGTAGTACAGGCAGAAACCTTAAGTAGTTTTAAAATTGAGCTCGGTAAATTTATGAAATGTCTTATATGAAAGGTCAAATATATATGCATGCAAGTAATATCATTAGTAAACTAAGGGAATGCAGTCTATGCAGTAGCTTGCAACCCGTGGCCCACATGTGACCCAGCACAGCGCTGCAGCCCATGTGACATCCTGTTAAAAAAAAAAGAGTAAAGACATTTGACAGTGTAAAAATGAGAGGTATTACAGAATATTGATTTGTATTGCATTACTGTCAGATAACGGATACCCAACATTTTGTAAATGGATACACAGGAAGTAAGTTGTGTGAGCGTGGCCCACGTAACACATTGAGAGAAGCAAATGTGGCCCGCTGTGGCAAATAGGTTGAGAACCACTGGTCTAGAGGAAAGTACTGTTAGATGGATATATAACTGGTTGGATCATTGTGTGGAGAAATTCGTCATCACCAGTGGCACTGGGAGGAGGTGTCCACAGGATGCAGCCTGAGGAGCCACGGTATTTGGCCTTCAGGGCTTGTGGAGGGACCAGGAGCAGGGGAGCAGGATGAGCGGGGGCAAGGCTCACCACCAAAATCCAGTGTGTGTGTTTTGGGCACCACACTTCAAGAAAGATGTGGACAAATTAGAAGAAGTCCAGCAAAGAGTACCAAAATGATTCAAGCCTGGGAAACAGATTTAGGAGGAAAAGCTGAATGAGTAGGGATTACACAGTCCAGATTAGAGAAAATTGAGGGTGCATTTTATAACAGTCTTCAAATACCTGAAGGATAGTTTTATAGAGGACGGTGCTGATTTATTCTCTGGAGCTGTGGGATGGGGCAGGACAGGAGGCAGTACTTTTCTTTTGTAGCAAGAGAAATGTAGGTTGAATTTTAGGAAGAATTTCTCACTTTGGGAGTTGTTCGGTATTGGAACAAGTTATCCGGAGAAGTTGTGGACTTTCTATCCTTGGAAATTTTTATGAGCACGTTAGACGAATACTTAAGTGAAAGAGTTTATACAGGGATGATCATGCCTTGAACAAGAGGTTGGACTAAATGACCAGCTGAGGTCCCTTTCACCTGCACTTTTCTGTGTGTCTGTGGAATAAGTAATTGATAAAGTGTTCATTAATCTTCTCAAATGAGTAGAGAGTCAGAGTTAAGGTGTTAGTTATTGAGTGCATACCATCATTGCCAACTGGAATTGTAGTCACTTTTTAAAACATGAGTTTATAATAGTTTCAGGAACTGGCAATCCTCTTGGGTTATTTAGGTTTTAGATTCATACTTTCCTATTTTTAAATATTTTTTTCTATTTTCTGTCAATATGTACCCTCACAAACAGAAAAAGTTGATGACATACATAGTGCTATCAAATGAGCAAAGTAGCGCTACAGAAGTACAGTAGCTCTTTTTCTCTCTACCTCTTGCTCTCTTTACTTTCTTTTAGTTCCAGTGATAACCAGGGTGGATTCAGGGTGCTGACATGGGCAGATGTGTTGGCAGTATTGCTTTCAGATCAGCTTATAAGAGAAATTCAGTTGAGAGTAGTTTGCTTAGTTTCTCAAAAAATTTAGCCATTCACCTCTGATCATAGAATAGCAGGGTTGGAAGGGACGCTAAACCAACCCAGATAAGGATCCTCAGACAAAAAATTATCTAATAAGGAAAAGAGCATAGTAAATTCTACTTGAAGTGCACCTTTACACCCCTTCTTTCCATGTGTTTCAAGACAGGAATGTGTTTCATGTAATGTACAAGCACCCTCTTCTGTGATTTGGGAACGTGAAAGCCCATAGCGTTGTTTTTAATCACTTTTTATAACTGTAAGTATTTTCTGATATTCATTCAGTTTTTGAAGTGTGGGAAAAAATGCAGAATCGAATATGGTTTGCTGTTTAAGTCTGTGGGAATTGTGGAACCATTTGCAATGTGACAGGCTACGATCAATAGCACATTTCCTCTCTGCAGGTTAAACATCAGCACTAAGGCCAATATCCATGTCTGTTAAGAGTGTCACTGCGATCTATATCTATTCCCAAATGTTTGTAAAAGACCCCAAAGCGTAGTGTGGGAAATAGATAACTTGTCTGAACTATGGTCTTGATTTTATTTTTTATTGCAGGTCTTGTCTGGATGCGGTGTTTATGATGGTACCGAAATCCATGAAGCCTCTGCGTAAGCCGCTTTGTGTAATTCAAGTTCTAGCAATGTATCCTTCACAATAGACATACAAAAAACTAGAACTCTTGGTTCCAAAGTAATACCTTTTATTAGACCAACTGGAAAATGGCAAGAAAATTGTCCTTTTCTTCAAGCTTTTGGGATCAAAATCCCTTCGTCAGGCTCTGGGAAAAGTGTAGATGGTACAAGATGGTAAAAAGTCCATGCAGAAAAGGACAATTTTCTTGCCATTTTCCAGTTGGTCTAATAAAAGGTATCATTTTGGAACCAAGAGTTCTAGTTTTTTGTATGTCTTTTTGTCTCCGACCAACACAGCTACCAAGTACACTCCTTCACAATAGAGCATTTTATCATATCAAATTAATTTCCACTTGCTAAGTACTACCCTGAAATAGCCTTGATGGTAGGTGGTTCCCCTCTGGGATCTTTTTGACAGCCAGGGGATGCCACTATTTTGTCCCAGCTTTATGTTCCTCAATACGTTCTTATATCACGGTGTTTCAGAGGGAAATGATTGGGCACAGTGTATGGCTACCAACTACTAAACCAGAGTAGTGAAATGTTGAGAGAGAGGCCTGCTCTTTTGAGCAGTACCTCTAGTTCCTCCATTCATGCCACCTGAATCATAGATTTAATTTTATAGCCAGCTTTCTGAGCATTCATTTCTGAGCCACACTTACTTATAAGAATAGTACACCAGGTATGTTGATCTTAATATCTCTTGGTGTGACCTTTGCTGCCATTTCTGAAGGAAGGCCAACTGATCACTGAAATAGTTATAGACAGCCAAAGGGATTGAAGTAATGCTTGCAGCTCATTGGGCACCCTGTTGGCCAACTATTACGCTGTAAACATTCTATTAATGCTGGCAATGTGTAGTTTTATTTGATGGTACTTTACCAGTTTTTTTTCTCTAAAAACAAGGAATATGTCTCTAGCAGGACTTAGAGGCAAATTAAAGTCCTGCTGTAATTTGTTTGCCATTATGACATCCCCTGTCTGAAGGTTTTCAATGTATTTTATGCCTGTGTTGTAGCATACTGTTCCACCTGAGTCGCAAGGGAGCTGAAGTTCAGATGTATGCTCCAGATGTTCTTCAGATGCACGTTATTGACCACACCAAAGGACAGCCTGCTGAGGCTGAATCGAGGTAAAAGCTATGTTTAAGTAGATGCTTTTTCTTGTGGTTACCATATACAGTCTCCTTTATCTCAAATGGGTACTCTATTTCCTGCTAGTTTTGTTTCAGAAGTCACCTCACCATTGCTATGTTTATTCAAAGCCATGATGGTTTCTTACTCTTCAAAAATGACATAATTCCTTTATATACTTGAACCCTTGCACACACAAAGCCTTTTTCTTCTGTTTTATTTCTGGTTCTCCAAGAAATGTTTTAACGGAATCAGCAAGGATTGCTCGTGGTAAAATCACAAACCTGGCTAAACTTACTACACAGGACCATGATGCTGTGATCTTCCCTGGTGGCTTTGGAGCTGCTAAAAACCTGTGAGTGCCAAGTTAAGTAAGCAGTAATTTAAATCCTTTACTCATAACTCACAGTAGTAACAAGAAACAGTTAATTGCCTTTTTATAGAATGCATACATTTACTGAGGTTGGAGATTGCCATGGGATAATGTTCTCAGTGCAGTGCTTAGATAGTCTGGGATTTTCCCATATGATTCTTATTGCTGCAGGATGACAGCACTAAGTCTCTCTCCATTGGTCACACTAAAAATTCCCTATTAAAATTAGTCAACAGTGCATGTTACATAAAAAAAATGTTTTTTTCCTCTGACGCTGTGATTTGTTGTGGCATAGTGGGGAAAGTGAAGGTAAAACTTTTAGTTTCAGATTATTTCTTGGTGCGTAGTTTTGACTACAACGTATCTGTGTGTCAGTAAACTTATTAAATAACTTGCTTTCAAAAAATAGCATATATTTGTCTTGAGAAAGTTTGCTTGTCAACAGAGGGGGACATTTTCTTTTGATTTTTGGAGCACTGTGTGTTTCTTTAAAACAGGGGCAGGCAAAATGGCAGGTCTGGCTAGTGGCTGGACTCTATTTCCCAGTAGCCCCTGCATGCGTTATTGCGGCCAGTGTCCACGGAGACCCCAACAGCAGCAGGGCGTGACAGTGCGAGGCCAGGATTTCCATGGAGACGGGCCCTAGCAGCATTGGCAGGGTGCATGGCTAGGTGGGGAGCTGCTCTAGGGCCGAGGTTGGGATCTTGCAGCGGTGACAGCATGGTCTGGAGCTGGGGCAGAGCTGCGATCTGCTGCATGGCCCTCCCACCTCCACATTTTCTACTGCTTTGTAGATTTTTGCTGTATCAAGGAGCTGCCCCTTCTCCTTCACTGAAGTTCGGATTCTAACTTGTGGGGGTCGTTGAGAGATGTTCTGAGTGTCAGTGCACATCTGAATGCTTAGCTTTGTAATGAGGTGTTCATGACTGTCTCTTGTGACAGATCCACCTTTGCTGTGGACGGGAAGGATTGCAAAGTGCACAAAGAAGTTGAACGGGTCCTTCAGGAGTTCCACAAAGCAGGCAAACCCATTGGGTATGTACATAATAGGAGCTGGGCCCTTACAAATACTGCTGCGGAGTGGTAGCTTGAGAGTGGAGATAAAATTAGTTCTGTGTAGGTATGTAGAGGTTGGCATGGAAGGTAGAAAAAACGTGTGTGTTTTGCATGCATGGCTTTTTTAAAAGTCATCCTTCAAGATTGTGTGAGTAGAGAGAAGTAGTTATGAAAAAAACACATTTACTTGTTGGGCAGGAAAATCTTGATACTGGACAGAAGAAATGACCTTTTTACATTTGTCTTTCAGATCTTTAAGAGCACAGACTGTAAAATCTTTATAAATACAATTCATCCTTTTAAAGAAGGGGCTTTCTTGGATTTTCATTTCCTATTTTTCTTGCAGGCTGTGCTGCATTTCACCAGTCCTGGCGGCAAAAGTACTCCCTGGTGCTGAAGTTACTGTGGGACACGAAGCAGAGGAAGGTGGGAAGTGGCCTTATGCTGGAACTGCAGGTGCCATTAAAGCACTAGGAGCAAAACATTGTGTTAAAGAAGTAACCATATCCTTTCTCATTAACATTTGGTGACTGTCAATTGAGAAACTGAGAGTTGAGAAGCAATGAATACTCTTGGCTTATGCATTATTCCAATTGTAAAGCCATATAGAAGCACATACGTGTGCTTCTATTCCAAATTATTCCAGTTGTATAGCCATACATGAAGCACATTGCTGTAACAATAGCTGTGTGATTTCTGATGTACAGTGCTCACCTCTTTTGGCATAGCCAGCACCACAGTTAATTCAGAGGTGCTGTGAGCAATACATGTACAGACCCATTCATACGGTCTCATACAGACCCATAACTAGTAAGTTTTTCTTGTAATATGTAATACAATACTAGCATTGTAGTCTCAATGAAATTCAGGTATTTCTGGCAAAGTAAGTAAAACCACTCTTCTCATAGGAACTAGTTTTCAGTTTGCCTGTGTGTAAAGGAAGATATTTGGGATTGTTTTTATTTGCTTTGTTTCTTTTTGCAGTCAGTGTCTATCAGTACTGGGTTGGTTATGCTTTCCTTAACTCTCTTCCACGAAGCTCATGTGGACTTGAAAAACAAGGTGGTCACTACCCCGGCCTTTATGTGCGAGACAGAATTGCATCACATCTTCGAGGGCATTGGGGCCATGGTAAAGAATGTCCTGAAATTAACTGGCAAATATAGTGGTGTTTCATAAAACAAGCTTTAGGAAAGATTTGAATTCGAAGTACACCACCAGAAATAAAAATCAATTCTTTTGTAAACCACTGATGAAACTGATGATCTTGTTCCCAGCTCTATTCAGATAATGCCTTTTTATGTAGTAGGGGTTTTTTTTGCAGTGAATCTCAAGCACTTCTGAGCAGAAAGGTCTGCAGAATGTCTCATTAGGTACAGGCAGTGTGTCCTAAATCCTAAAGTCTTGTCTTGGACTTAAGCTTCTGGGGAGGGTTACATGGGAATGATCTGAGGCCAGCCAGCATGCAACAAAACATTCCTGAGGAAAATACTAAAGATTCACATGACAATTGAATGGCATGAGCATCAGTCATTAGCCAGAGTGGCAGTCTTGACTACTGGACTAAGTTTGAGATACATGGCTAACACCATTTGGAGTTTCTGGCTGCTGCTCTTGGAAAACTATGTTAAAATTCACCTCTGGCTAGTTTAGTTAAAACGGCTGTTATTACCTTTACTTTCCTGAGACTGCCTGTCTGTCTGGGTGCTCAGATGTTGCTCAGGTTTGAGGAGAGAGAGATTGATCTGAATCACAAAGGTATTGGGGAAGACGCACTGATGTGTGTTTCAGGCAGGGTTGCTGTAGTTTGCTGTTTATGCAGATGTATGTGAGCTAAAAGCCAAGATTGCTTTGATTTAACCAAGGGAATCACACATGTTCCAAGTCCTAATTCATTGTTAGCTTTGTGTTGCTCAGGTTTTTTTTTCCTTTCTTTACTCGTTCTTTACTCGGGGCTTTTTTCTGTTTTAAAAAAACCTGCTCTTTCCAACATGAATAAAACTAAATTTCAGGAGCAGGACATATCTTTATCTATAAATATATAGATTTTGAGGGCGCTAACCATGATTAATAGCACAGTAAGCCTCCTGCATAAAACAGGCCTGGAAATTAAAAAAACAACCTGCTGCAGTAATTGGTAAGGTTTAAAGACATCACCCATGCTAATGTAATTATTTGCCTAGCAGTGAACACTGGATACTACCACGTTCCCCTCACCAGAATAACAAAGCTCTTCCAGAGAAATACAGTCAAATGTAGGAAGAATGATGGCTAAATAAATTAACTTCTGTCCAATAATCCTTTTACAATGTTTAATCATGGAACCTTTTGCATTTTGAAATCACTT